CCCCTCCCCCAAAGAAACCCTCCAAGAGATAGATAAATACCTTAGTCAACTTCTGCTGCTTAATCAACGTCGTCTTCTTCGGAGCAATCTGTCTCGGTCCGCGCTTGGGACCCAGGGCTGAGGGACTGCACAACATGCCAAAGATTAGCTTAACTGATCGCTTGACAAAACACCTCCTCGCTTTTTGTCCCGTATGTGAAAATAATCCACTGATTTCCCCCCCTTTCCCCCAATTCCCAAGAATAGACATATAGACAGGTAGATAGGTAGGTGAATAAAACGTACCGCTTCACAAGATTCCCACTGTTGCCGGCGGGCTTCTTCTTGAGGGATCCTTGGACCATGATTGCGATTTGTATTATAATTTCTTCCCTTCGTGTAAGATGATAGTATAGGAAAGGAGAATCGGTGGCTGCCCGCAGCGATGGGTATGTATGTATGTTGGTTTCTGAGTTGTGGTCGGTTCTCGGTCGGAGAAAAGAAAATTGCTTATCGGAGGGCGGAGTGAGGAGAAATCTTGTCTTTGGTTGCTTGGGGGGGTTAGCATTGCTTATCGATATGTCACGTGACCGGGAGGGAAGTAATGTATGCATAGTTGGGTGTGTATCATTATGATTCTATTTGGTTTTGTTGTTATGCATGTTTTATGATTTGTAAGATTAATTGTGCATAAGGGGAGAGTTATGTGCTAGTGCTACAGTGTTATGATCTGCGTGTTGGATTGTTGGTTTTTCTTTTTGTCAGTCTGTTGGTATGAGAAAGGGGGGGGATGAAATGGATGGGGTCGGATTCTTTGCAAGTTTCAGATTAAGCTGCGGTGTAAGCCGTTGGTATGGGAAAATGACAGAAAATAGGGCGGAGATTTAGATTAACATGAAGATGAAGGAACAAAGAAGGGATGGGAGGGAAATTGGCATCTGAGATTATCAGTCATTGATAGGATCGGGGGGTCCATTTACATGAAACGTTAGTGGGAGATCATTTACTGTACGTGTAGACTATCTCAGAGGCAAAGAGCCTCCTAAGGTTGATTTACGATGGTAAGTATCATCGAAATGCAGATTTGGTATAATACAATGCTCTTATTATTACCCTTGCTCATTAACTATGGGGGTATATTGTCATAAGTAAAGAGTCGACGAATCGAATCGAATCGCTGCAAACATGAATAATCTCAACACACTCTCTCGCGCTTGCGCGTTCTTGTACATACAACTGTCTCAGCTAGGTACAACCTCCATCACTTTACAAATTCCTAAGAATGCCGGATGGGCTGCCCCATTTAGAAAGCAAGGACGGCAGCGACACCGACGGCGACGGCGCCGAGGCTGATGGCGTTGCGGTCAGCAGCACCGGTGAAAACGGGAGAGACGGAGGAGCTGCTGGCAGCAGGAGTGCCGGAGGGAGTGGCAGAGCTGCGGATGAGGCTGGCAGAGCCGGAGGCAGAGGGAGCAACGACGAAGCTGGTGGGCTTGTTGCCACCGACCACAGGGACGGAGGTGGGCTTGACGTCGGCAGTGGCAGTGGCAGTCTCGGGGCAGATAGTGCTGGTGATCTTGCTGATGATAACGCTAGTCTCGGAAGCATCAGAGCTCACAGCGGCGGCGGCAGTGGTGCTAGTAGCAGCGGCAACAGAGGAAGAAGAAGAGTAGTAAGGGTTGGAGATGCCGAACTGGACGGAGTACTGGTACTGGCCAGTGCCCTCGACAACAAGGAGGATACCGTAGTGGGTGGTGTCAGGCTCGAGGGTGGTGCTGGGAGTCCAAGAGTAACTGCCAGAGTTGTCGATGTCTTCGACAATGGTCTGGATGGGGACGACGTTGGTGCTGGGGCCGCGCAGAAGGACAAGAGACACAGTGCCCGAGGTAGTGGGGTCCCAGGTGATCTCGAAGGGCTTGCCAGCAGGAACAACCTGGTTCAGTTCGGGGGTGAGGATGGCATTGCCGGTGGGGTTCTGAGAGTAGTCGGGCTGAGTGTAGGCAGAGGCCAGGGCCGCAAGGGCAGAGACAAGGGCGGTGGTGAAGAAACGCATTTTTACAGGTTCACTTTCGTGTCTTGTGCGTGAAGTAAAGAATGATAAGAGGTAGGGATATTGAGAAGTGGTTTCAAAGAGTGACTGGAAGTAAGACTTCGTGTATGTAGTGCAAAGGAGTGACTACCGTGGGAGAGGGCGAAAACGCGAGGGACGTCAAATCGTGAGAAGGGAAGGAGAGAAAGAGAAGGAGGGGGGAGAAGAGACATTCAAGTATATGAATGATGGGGATGCGACAGGCGTAGGACAAGTCCATTCACAGCCCCCCTCCCAATTCCCCCCTATGGAGGGGATGACATTCACTACTACCTACCAGGCTCCGAGCCCAACATCGCCAAATCTGCGGCTCATTTACCCGGTGGGTCAAAGGAAATTATTCTTTCAAATTGCTGATTGGGAACTTGCTCAGGAACAGCGTTCAAGACTACTGCTAGTTACCTACTATTGCATGGTTAGTGTGAGAAATGCCTGGTAAACTTTGAGAACGGTGGAATGTATGGGGCCTACCCTCCCCCGACTAAACCTTGTGAAATGAATTGGCGATGTCACCTCAAGCCAGTATGACTCTCTGACTGGCTTACACAGAGCGGTTTAGTCCGCTGTTAGACCGCTTGGATCGCCTCCCTCCATCGTGGATGTGCTCAAAGATACTCGGAGGCGTGGGCCACTCAGAAATTGAGACCGCATATACGAGGGATGAGCGGGGGTTCATCTGCCAGGGCGCTAACAGTCTAGCAATTTTAGGAGAGACATCGAATCAAGGCTCTCAGCGTGGGAGCCTGGGGAGTGGGAGGGTAGCTACTGAATACTACCCAGTGGGTAACAGTGTATATTCGCCTAAAACTAGGCTCTTTATTAGTAGATCAAACTAATGCCAACGGTACCAAAGTCAAGAGCATAGAAATAGAGAACTAGCCACGAATTCGGCAAAATGGTACCATTGACTCAGAAGAGGGTCTCAGCTCCAAGCCGGCGAAGCCGTGGGACATGTGAAACAATCATAACCTTATGTCAGACCAGGCCAGGAACAACGGAGGAACCCCGAGAACGGAGAAGGAAGGATGTTGTTGATGGCTAGCAGCAGCTGGACGGAGTACGAAGAGACACAGTAGAAAGAGAAGTCGTTGGTGGAACTTGGCCCGCAAGGGATTCGCGCGCAAACAAACAAACAAACACCACCACCACCACCACCATTATCGCCATCACCACCTCCTTTCCTTTCAGCTTTTGTTTCACTTCCAGAAGCTCGAGCGTTTTCACACACGCACACACATCTCACATTTTTGGCAAATATTATCCGGAGACTTTTCCATTCTCAATGACATAGCCGCAGGGCAAATTACCTGGGAAATTACCCTCATGTAAAATTTACAATGGATGGATCAGTGCCCCTCATCGAGTGGTGCTTGATTGGCTTCGCCTTCCGGAGCCTTGCCAGCTGCTTCCGGTGCGTCCTGGTTTGACACAAATGAGACATAGACACGCCACGAGGCCGAAGCGTTAAATCACCGAAGTGGCCAGGCACAGAGTTTAATTACCACCTTCCGAATATTGGGACCAGAGGCACTAAACGCATCTCGTGTCCTCCAAAGGCACCAAGGAACCTGTCCGGTGTCTCCACCCCCGTGTAATCGGATGGTCGCCTAAATTGCTACGGAGAGACACCAAGAAACACACAAGTCATGTTACTACCCACGTACTCCCTCCTTTCTTCCCACTGGCCGCAGATCAACAGATTGTCAAGGGGGTTTCATTCTGCAAACTGACCGTTCGTCGTTGAAAGTCCCCGCGAGAGAGGTGATCAACGTCCTCGATGAAATCATCCATCGCTATGTTGGGTGAAGATTCTCTGGTTCCTGTCGCTCATTCCTCGTTCCTGACTGGGTTAGTGGACCCTCGTTCCGACTGCCAATGCCACTAACAAGGCACGATAACTGATAACATGCCTTCCTTCGTACCAAGGGAGATGATCCGTCATACTGCGAACCTTGAAGAGACAAGCACTCCCGGAGTATGTACCTTGCGGGTTATCCAAACAAAACCCACGGAATGGCTTTCATGAGCACGCCTGCCAGTGATCTTCATGTTGGCAAGCTTTCTCTGCTCGAGGCCACATTCCTCTGTCCACACAATATGTAGTCGTATCGCTTACCACGTGTGGGCGAGTGCAGGAATTTTTCCAGTGGCGTCGGAGACTAGTTCGAATGTCTCGGACTCCGATACCTGACCTGCAGTCTGACTGCTTATGATCCATCTGCTGTGGATATCATAGTGGCGGCGGCTTTCTGGTTTGGTTCACGCGATCGCCAAAGACTGTCGGTGAAATTGTGACCAATTACATCCCGGATTGAACTTATCCGAAGATGTGCAATGTTCTACACAATAAGTACTCTGTGCACAGTACAAGAGTTTCGCCGGCGCTTGATAAAGCCTCCCAGGATACACACTCTATTTACAGTAACAGTCGGTCGGTTCATGGCCCGCCACACATCTGCCAGCAGTGATAAAACATCCAACCCGAATCCATGGCCGGCATGGCCGGCATGGCTGTCAAGGGATCTAAGCTACTGGTCCAGATTATGACAAAGGCTTGGATGCAACCGGGCGTCGCTCTTCCCGGTATCGCTAGATAAATTAAGAAAACGAAAAAGCCAAATAAGATGATGTGCTTCGTATTGCTTGGGCCCTACTGAACCCTGCATCGAGTGGGTATTCCGATCAAGGGTCCAGTCCAGTCCCCTTCGCCATAATAATGCCAGCCATGGTCCCAATATCGAACTATTGGCATCTATCTGCTCCATGTGGCCTCTCATTCGTCTTCCTAATGGACGACTCCTTCCCCAAAGGCTCCCAATTACAAATCCGACCATGGGTTGTTGAGCGCTAGTCTGTGCAGTCCGGGCTCCTTCCTTATTCTACCCAAGTAATCGTCTTGGTTTGCAGCCACTCGTCGTAACCGGAGGTTCCTCCGAAGCGACCGTATCCGCTGCTCTTCCAGCCGCCATGGGGAAGAACAGGCTCGTCGTGCACGGTCAAAGAATTGATATGTACAGCACTAATCATAGTCGCAAAGGGGTCAGCATATGGCACTTTCGGATCAGACGGAGAGCGCTCTCGACCAACGGAAACTCACCCTGCTTCAATCTGCTTGGCAACCCTGAGGCCACGGAACAGGTTCCCCGTAAATACTGCCGAAGTGAGGCCGTACTCCGTGTCATTGGCCAGTGTCACAGCGTCTTCCTCGCTATCAACCACAATGAGGGATACAGTCGGGCCAAACGACTCCGTGGAGTACATGTCCATGTTCTTGGCGACATCGCCAACGACCACAGGCCGCATGCTGCTGTTGTTCAAGTCAATGGCCGCAGTGTCACCATAGATAAGGTTGGCGCCTTTGGCGAGCGCATCCTCTACCAGCTCCTTGTTCTTCTTGACTGCAGCAGGGGCAACGAGGACCAATGCCGGTCCGTGCTTGCCAAATACTTTCTCCACCGCCTCCGCCATCATCTGCTTGAACCTATCTGCAATAGACCGCTGTACTATAACGCGTTCCGTCGACATGCAGATTTGTCCGGACTACGTTCGAATCAGCAGGAAATTTCAGGCTAAACTGTCCAACGTCAAAGTTCTTACATGCATAAAGGATCCCAGTGCACAGCACATGGCGGCCTTGTCCAGGTTGGCATCGTCCAAGACAATGGCCGAAGCTTTGCCTCCCAGTTCGAGGAGTACCGGCTTCGTATATTTGCCGGCAGTGGCCGCGACGATTGAGCCCACCGTGGTGCTACCGGTGAAGTTGATCTTGCGCACAGCTGGGTGAGCAATGAGGGCGTTCGTGACCGCCGCTGCGTCCGAGGGACGGTGGTAAAGGACATTCAGACATCCCGCAGGAAGACCAGCTTCGCGATAGATATCTCCAATTGCCCAGAAACACTTGGGGGCAAGCTCTGATCCCTTCAAAATCGTCGTATTACCCGCGGCGAGGGGTAGAGCGACTGCGCGGGTTCCGAGGATGTAGGGAGCATTCCTACCGAGGTGGTTAATATTAGCGACCATGAGACTGACGCGCAGCTAATGCCTTATGGGAATGGGGATAGGTAATGTACCAAGGCGCGATTCCCAATACTACGCCATATGGCTGCTTGATAACCATTGCGCACTCGCCATCTTCCGAGACGGAGGGTACTGTGCCCTCGATAGACGGGATTCGCGCTGCGAAATCCTTCAAGAACCCGACTCCCAGCATGAATGTTTTCTCCACAAACATACGACCCGCACCTGTCTCCTCCATCTGATACCGAATCAATTCTTCTTTCCGGGAGAGCATAATATCCGCGGCTCTAATGAGGATATCCCTACGATCGTACGGCTTGGTCTTGCTCCATCCGGGGAAGGCGGCCTTTGCGGCCGCGACAGCACGGTTGGCATCGTCGACTGTTGCTCCGGCGCAACGGTCAATCACTTCACCCGTCGAGGGGCTCGTAACGTCGAATATCGTCTCGGTCACAGAAGACTCGTTGTTGATCAGGAGCGGGATAACCGCGGTATTTCCGTTGGGGTTTTTGGCGATCATGGCTGAGGATTACTTGGATCTAGAAGGGTTCGGTCTATGTGGCATTAGATTTTAGAAGAATAAAAAGAAAGAGAGAGAGTGTGTGTGGGTGAGGAAGGGTGAAAGAGGTGTGAGATGAACAGATAGATAGAAAAACTGGAGGGACAGAAGATGAGAGGGTATGGAGTTCTGTTGAGCCAACAAGCCAGGGCCAAAAAATGAGGGGGAAGGGTCAAACCGACGGGGTGAAAGACTAACAAATGGCGCGATAATGGAAAGCGCGAGACCCCAATAATCTAGTCAGTCGCAGACACTGGTCTTGCTTGCATCTGCAGCCACCGAAGTGAGGGGGCAATTTCGGGACTTTTCCCGACGTGATGGAGCCGAAAGATTGTCTGTGATATTGCCCTTCCGGCGCATGGTCTGGAGGGCCCTCATCTGTGACTACGGAAGCTTCTGCATCTCTGCATACTAATTGGCAGGCGGATGTGCGCGTCTGTTGAGAAATGTCATCATGACTCGGTTGTTGAGTGGGGGAGACTTCCCGATGGCACATTGAGTGGATAGTCCCCCTGGAGCATCTCCCAGGGTTGACGCTGCGACTCAAGGCTTCAGCACCAGTGACTCGACCATGCGTGCGGAATTCCTCCTTTTTCCTGCACTTCCCCCCCACCCGGAGATAAGGTTGACGGTTGTAACGTTTAGCCCCCTTGTCAGCGCCGCCTCGGCTGTCACCCTCACTAGTAGGACTTGCCGCAGGACTCCCCACCAAACTGGGATGCTACTTCAAACAGTGCTGACTGAGAGTTTCATGTCCTCTCACTCACTGGAAGATCGCGATAGGATACCGCAGGTCCATCTTCTTTTTCCCTTGCTGCGAATGTTGGAGACACCAGATCATTCGTCCCAAAGGAGCATGTGGGCCTTACTTTTAACGAATCCAATGATCGTCAGTTTTTAGCCCCCCTAGCGCAGCTGCCGCAACAGAACAACAGAGAGTTGTCTGCTTATTGGTAGACACGGCTCGTGGCCTCCACTCCCGGCAGATGCCTCAACTCGGGGTCGGTTGGGATCCAAACCAAAGTGACGCGATGGAGTACTTGGGAGCCAAGTTGCTGACAAAAAGAGAGTCGGGAACCTCTGTGCGCAGTCTCAAGGGGACTCATAACATTCTCCATAGACTGCCGAGGTAGGAAGGGAGCGTCCATTACCTTCTGGCTGATATATACTTTGTTGGTCCTGTTATAGACACCCCAAGAGGTAAGGAGAGGCATAGCCTCGACTCCGAGTATGGACGTGCAGCGGATAGATCTGTCCGAGAACTGCAGGAGAAGTGATGTCACAATATCTAAATCTGGATATCTTTAATTACTGTATCGCCTGTGTGAACCCCAACACCGTCCATGCATGCTCCAAGATACAACCAACTTCTCTGGAAACCACAAAAACCAGGAAACAAACAAGATACCCGGAACACATATGCCTGACGCCCGCTATGCTCTTTAAAACCTGTATACCATCCGTGACGTTCTATTACTATCCAGACCACCGACTGGCTCAGTTAGAGCCGGCCCAAATCTTGGTTTCCGACGCGGGCTTTGCCATGTCTGCAAAGGGGCATGCCGGGGTGGAAGTAGGGACCGTGCCACTGTGAATGCTTGAGCGGTCATCCTCACTCGAGCTTGCGGAGGTGCTGCTGTTGTCACCCAGGATCTTCTTGTCGCCCAGGTACCCTTCTTTGTCGTCCACCATAATCTCCGACATCTCATCGGCATACTCTTCGCCATCCCTGATTCTCCACTTGGCGAAGAGGTCGTTCTGGATCCAGATGATCTTGCTGATGGCACGAACCAGGGCGGTCTTGCGAGGGAGCGATAGGTGAGGATGTGACATGAGGGCTTCGGTGAAGATATCTTGAATGAATCCGAGGCAAGCGCCGATATGGATGTATTCGATGTTGAGCGAGTACAGACGTTCCTGGGCAGTGTGCATCATTCTATAACCGTTAGTATCACGTGATACCTTGGATACACTGACCAGCAAAGAGATCGGAAGACATACCCAACTTTGTTCAAGTACCGCCAGAATTCCATCTGAGAAGGGTCGGAACACAGCTTAATCAAGTACCAACGCAAAAACATCTTGCGACGTTGGATCTGGGGGCTTTCTTCAGTGAAGAACTCCTCGACGGGGGTATCGTCGGCGGTATCTCTCGTGTGGAAGGCACGAGCGGTGATGTCGGACTCGAGAAGTTTCTTATAGACGATGTTGACCACGGCAGGGATCAGGGCCTTGATATACTTGGAGCCTGCCACCAATGCCTCAACGTCACCTACGCTCATGCGGTTAGTTGATGATTGAAGCCAACGAGGTTGCAAGTGGACGAACTTGAATTGAAGTCCAGGAAGTCTCGCAGGTAAGTGATGCGCGCCTCTAGACGGGTGTACAGGGCTTTACGGTCGACATGCTTCATTGGTCGATTGGGCTCAAGAGTGAATTCCATGTTGGGAGCCTTGGCCTCGGGGGAGGGGTGTATGAGTGGATATTCGATGAACAGGTAAAGATAAAAGATGTCTCGGTTAGATCGAGAGGGGCGGTTGATATCTTTTCACGAACCCCTGGGGTCAAATCGAAGCTTGGAAGGTCGAAGATGGAAAAATGGGAGAACTGGGATTTTGTGGGAGGCATGGAGACATCATGCGATTATATAGGGTTGGCTAAGATGCATGGCCACTGGGAATGGATATCAAATGGGACACCCAACGCATGGCTGTTAGTCAAGCAAGTCCGACATCCGACCCTCCTCCACGCGGGAAGGGGGGGAATGAGGGGACCCATCATGACGGTGGGCACAAGGGAAAAAAGCAAGACAACGGGGTTTCAAGCTAGGAGAGGAAAGAGACCCAAGTTGCAACATCAGCCCAGACAGCGCGCAACGGCCACGGAGGATCCCGAACCTTGGCGATATTCTTCCCTGCCTTCGGTATCTGGTGTCTTTTGCGAGGAGGCTTGGTGGTCTGATGCGGCCTTTGAACCGACTTAGTCCAGCTGATGCTGATGAATTTTCTTAAATGTTGTTTGTTTAATTTTTCAGTTTCTTCCCCTAACGCTCTTACACAGTATCTATGAGATCTTACAATCTTATGCTCTGATTCTTTGATTACAGCCTGCTGGTTTGGACGGGAAAAAAAAATACAAGAAAAAGCCATTCATCCGGAGGGATCGGGCCAGACTCTCCATGAAAGCCTGGAGCCGTGGGGCCGTTTAACACAGCTGATTGACAGCCTACTCCGTACAGATTTTCTTACCACGACACCAAGGAGAAACAAAAAAAAAAAAAGAAAAAAAGCAAAAATGACAGAAAATTTGTGATGAGCAAGAGGGTCGTCTAAATCAAGGCTCCAGAAAATTGACTTTGGAGAGGAGATGCTACTAGTACAAAGGGAGCTGCCGAATGACACGCTCGCCGAAAGGTCGATGGCACAACCCAGTGAGGGTCCGCTAATTGATGGACAACTAATCGGAATGGCTGCAAATAATCTCGATGCTTCCCTGTAAGGGCGCTTAGGCGGGAAGAAAGCAGGGGTGGAAGGGGCAACGCCTCAGAATATCGGGAATAATCCCATTTCATCAGTCGTCATCTGGGCTCCAAACCTTCTTCGCCGGGCTGGAAACGAGTCGGAGCCGATGCGCGACCGAGCCTAAACATGGACCGCGGTGGTTTTTCTCATCTTCACTACTGACTGACTACCGGGTACTTTCATCCTCGCTCGTGACTCCTGTCCCTGCTCTTCTCAATGGAAAATCTAGATGGGCAGACCCGTGGTCGACCGATGCATCAACTTGATTAAGCAGAACTCACTTTCTCTCCTTGCGACCAAAGTCAGATATATTGCCCCGTATATTAATGTGAGGTATCTTTCTCTCTCTGAGTCTCCATCGCCAAATTTGAAGTGTCGAGGATGTGATCTGTCGGGACGGGTGACTAAGCCCGTATCCGATTGGCTGCGCTGCAGGTGATCGCGTCAAACCGGATTCTCCCTAAAACATCAGGCCATAGAGACATATTCATCCAAACTCAACTGAGGTCTTCCGTGGATCACACGACTTTCGGACTGACTTTCCGTTGTCCCTCCTCACTACACTGCCATGGCTGCTTCACACAGCATGCTATCATAATCGTCATTGTCAGATGAAAGTCTCAGCCCTCACATCATCACTGGATACTTTCGCTTGCCCGGCAGTTGAGAAGATCGTACGGAGTAGTCAATCTTACAACCTCCTCCTGTCTTAGTCTATCTACCTCGCCATCATCTGGCCTGAGACGCTCCACTGCTGGCTATGATGTCAATCTAACTAATCACTAGTTCAGCGTGTGCATGGCTCTATTTCTGCTCCAACGCCGTAATAGTGTCTGCCCAGGCAGTATCCTCTTCCTTTCCTGTGGAGTCGTAATGCTAATGAAATGGTGCCCCATAGTAGCCGTCCGCTTTGGCAAACCATCTTGGGCAACCAAATATGATGTTCCAGCTCCACAGATTACAAGCTTCCCGGATGGTCTTTTTCTTGCAGACCGTGGGTAGTCATATTACTCACGTCCTTTCAGTTGAATACAATTTCCGTGAATGGCTACAAGGCCGTGGGCAGTCTACGAAGGAGGAGGTTCCCGTGTGTTCGAGGCAAGCCTCGCAGACTTCCGGTCCGCTGCCGTCCAGCGCCGTTGAAACGAATGGGTCGGTCCACCCGCAAATGGGTACCTGATACACAATGCGATACGCTGGTTATACCCGGCAAATAACTTCCACTGACGGGTATTCTTTCCCCTTGGAAGTGGAATGGCTAATTCGGAGTAAATCCCATCACGTCTGCGCCGACTCGGCCGGACAAAAAGGCCTGATGTCCCAATATGGTTATCTGACCCCTAGCCCACTAGTCGCTACGCATCAGCACATTGGGAGTTGGTTGCTTCCGAGATGCAGGCGGCCGCCAAGAAAAATGTTGTAGTCCCTACCGTTAACTGTCCATCTTAAGTAAGATCCATGGTCTCTATTCGCTGATCAGAAACAGTTCCGTTCGCTAGATCTTAACTGAGATCTCAATAAAGAACGTCGCACTCTTTTCCATTTGCCTTCCATTGGGAGTCCTCCTCCAATCACTTCTTGCTCTGCCATCCCAATTCACCTACTGTCCTTGGTCCTGAGCCAGGTAAAACGTTGTAGGTGAGATCACGGGTCTGATCTACAGGCACAGATTACAGGAGCATCGGTACCGAAGAATTGTGTCGCTACTCGCGTGCGCACTGACAGGTCTGTCACCGCTCTTTCTTTTGTTGATACTCGTGATTACAGATAACAACGCCGCTGTCGCCACGATCGGCCTGTCTGAAACCACCGTCAGACACTTGCTATTTGTCTTGATGGTCCTACTTCGACCCCGACTAATAGCTGGAGCGGAGTAGAAGTCGTACGTAGATGTGCTACTCTTGAGTTTTCCGGTGCGTAGTTCCGAGTTCCGAGAGACCCGGATATTAAATTTTAGTAATGGCAGATATAATAGTCGAGGCTTAAGGGGGGCAACAGTAAACAGACACAGTATCTATCTAAATCGAGAGCGGAAAGGTGGGTAAACCGGGACATGAAGCTTGCACCCACAAGTTCGTGAGGTCCTACCACAGCCTACTCATCCACATGGCCCTTGTGCTTGACCTTGGCTTAGGATCCTCATCCACCGCCCAGTTCCGGAGAGCCAGTAACGCGCATCTGAATAGGGGGATAGCAGCGTCCGCCCAACCAAGTTTGCCACAAAGAAGGCCAATAGGCGGGATGGCGGCGATGCAGACCGGATCTCTGAGCCGACTTAGCGTCGGCAGTTGGGTTGTTCATCGTCACTATGCTCAGGGGCAGAACAATTCCCAGACGTGGTGGCTCTCTAGCCCTCCGTTCTCTTCCGTATAATTAGCAGCATGGCTTTCTCCATAAGTGGCTCGGCCTGGTCCCCAGCCGCATACGTCAACCGGGCAATTCTCCGCATTAGTATCCGCCTCCTAGTTTCGAAGAAGGAAGCCGCTTTTAGTTTTTGATCCGAGCCCAATGAAGTTGATTTGAACTGATGATTCGTCCAGGGGGCCTGTTGAACAGGCTTCTAGATGAATTGGGACTGGATTCCAGTGTTTCGCTAGTGGGCATCAGGTTGTGAGGGGGGCCTCCGTTCCCCTGAAGTATAATAACAGTCCCCGTACTATTGATTCTATTGGTCGTAGAGTATACTGTAGTCTGTATGAGAGACGATGGAGAAACCACCCCTAATCATTCGGGTGTTCGTCCACTTCATGCAACTATTGACCGTTGGAATCCACCGTGGCTGAAGGTATGGAGGTCGGAGGGAATAATTAATTGAGAGAAAGCTGTTAGTCATTGATTGCTGTTGCCTGACGCGAACTCCTGGGGCGTGCCTGGGAAGGAGGTTGAAGTAAGTTCCTTGGCAGGGTGGTTGAGCCGGTCACTTGTTTAGACTCCTGATCTCGTACCATGGACCAATTGGGGGACATTTATGCGTCGCAATGATGCAGACGCAAATTGTTTCTCGCGGGGAGCAAAAGTTCCAGCTTGGATGGGGGCCACGTGATGGCGTCACCGGATCCGTAGTCTTTACTAAGTTGCTCTTGGATTTTTAACCTTTGTTTCCCTCATTCCTTTCCCTTCGATACTTTCCTCGTCTTGGCTCGGCGCTATCCTCTGGTTATTGCCGTCCGGTTCTGTATCCTCGTCCTTTGGATGCTCGCCGGATCGAGCATCGCACAATGACTTGCCGCATTGTTCATGCGGAGATGTTACCCACCCCCACAATAGTACGCAACAATTGGCATCGAACAAACTCCCTACGGATGAAGAGGACGGTGGTTTGCTCATGGCGATGAAACCCCGGGTCATGCGCACTGCATAGCAGTTGCATTGACCCCTGGCTACATGTAAGGCTACTGCAGTTATGAGCTGGGTTATTGGTGAAAATGTTACACTGCGGCAGAGTGTCTACCTTGCCTCCCCTGGCCTACAGTGGCTGCAAATGCCCAAAACGATGCTGATGCCGCATCTGTGCCTTGAGAACGAGCCTTGGCCGGACCGTTCCTTCCTCAACGACCTGAAATGATCTGGTAGACTCCCTCCTCCAAACCATAGATGGGCGAGGACCTAACAATCTTGACTGCGAGTGTCCGTCTCACTCTTATATCACCAGTGCTCAGTTTCTTTCCCCCCTTTCCACTGCTTATATTCTTTAAATCTATTGCCCTGTCAGAGTGACTTCACTTTGCCTAAGCCCACGTATCCTGTATTTTTCATGCAGCCGGCCTGAATCAATATCCAGCACATCAATAAGTCTTACTTCAGAGCCAGGTCTAGACAGCTTTCTGTTGTCATTGCGGTGCTGTAACATCGTCGACGACACAGGAAAATAGAGGCAATCTGTTCTCCACATTTTCTATAGTGGATCATTCTCCCCCAACCTTATCTACTATCCTTACGGGCACCGCTTTGTCGTGCGTCTGTTTTCGGTGGGTCCCAATTCACGATCAAGTGCGGAGGTCGAGGTTGACTTGGAGATCGGCATCTGCAAACAGACCAGTTGATATTAAGATTCTGTAGATCAGTTAGCGATCCAGATCTGGGAGACGGCTTGTCGTTTGCTTGCGGTCAATTGACAGCCAGCGTGTTCAGCCTCCGTTTACTTAAACCAGGCGAATTCCATTCTATCCGGTCCTGGCTTCCCATAGACGGCATTGTTCTATCCCAGCCTTCTGATATTTTTCGCTGAATACTCTACGGAACCGTATCTTCAATATGTTTGTGGAAAGCGCAAAGAAGGCGCTTTTGGCGTTGTCTCTTTTGGCTGCTAGTGCACAAGCTGTGCCACGAGTGTAAGTGTGCCGGATACATCAAGTCCCCTTCTGTTCATAGTCATTGGCTTACTGTTGAGTATAGCCGCCGGCAAGGCGCCTCGAGCTCCTTTGATTACAAGAGCCAGATAGTCCGAGGTGTCAATCTGGGCGGCTGGCTGGTGACCGAGCCTTGGATTACACCTTCACTCTATGACAGTACTGGAGGTGGTGCGGTAGATGAATGGACACTGTGTCAGATATTGGGTAAAGATGAAGCCCAGGCTAAATTGTCGTCTCACTGGAGCTCGTTCATCACGCAAAGTGACTTTGACCGTATGGCTCAGGCAGGACTGAATCATGTCCGCATTCCTATTGGATACTGGGCCGTTGCTCCCATTGATGGTGAGCCGTATGTCAGCGGTCAGATCGACTATCTCGACCAGGCGGTCACCTGGGCTAGAGCTGCTGGCCTCAAAGTTCTTGTTGATCTGCACGGTGGTAAGTTATGTGCTTTCTCGTGCATCTCATCTTTGGGTCTTCTGACAAAAACATAGCACCGGGCTCTCAAAACGGATTTGACAATAGTGGACATCGAGGTCCCATCCAGTGGCAGCAAGGGGACACAGTCAACCAAACTATGACCGCATTCGATGCTCTTGCAAGGCGCTACGCTCAGTCCGATACCGTCACGGCGATCGAGGCCGTCAACGAACCCAACATCCCCGGTGGGGTAAACGAGGATGGCCTCAAGAACTACTACTACGGCGCTTTGGCTGATGTCCAGCGTCTCAACCCCTCTACTACTTTGTTCATGTCGGACGGCTTCCAGCCTGTGGAGTCCTGGAACGGGTTCATGCAAGGTAGCAATGTTGTCATGGATACGCATCACTATCAAGTCTTTGACACCGGCTTGCTTTCCATGAGCATCGATGACCATGTCAAAACGGCGTGTTCTCTCGCCACACAACACACAATGCAATCAGACAAGCCTGTCGTCGTGGGTGAGTGGACCGGTGCTCTAACCGATTGTGCCAAGTATCTCAACGGCGTTGGTAATGCCGCTCGCTACGATGGCACATACATGTCCACCACCAAGTATGGTGACTGCACCGGCAAGAGTACTGGTTCTGTGGCTGACTTCTCAGCTGATGAGAAAGCGAATACCCGTCGCTACATTGAGGCTCAGTTGGAGGCTTACGAGATGAAGAGTGGATGGCTCTTCTGGACTTGGAAGACCGAGGGTGCCCCGGGATGGGACATGCAAGACCTTCTCGCTAACCAACTCTTTCCTACCTCCCCTACTGATAGACAATACCCTCATCAGTGCTCTTGAAAGACTAATTTGGCGATTGAGCGTTTGGATATTACTCCTCAAGATATCCTTTGTCATTCTTTCATATGCGTTATGATTCATAGTTGGGGCTTATCCCCTCTCGTGCTGATGTTTGTTGAGACCTGCACTGCTTATCCCTTTCTTCCTTGCTCTTCCTCTACACTACTTAAGCAACAAGATCAGTCTCGCATGGTAATTTCATTGCTCAGCTCTAAAGTCAGAGCTACTATCTATGCAAGGGGTATTCAACTATGTAAGTATGCTATCCCATAAAGATGCAAGTTATTGTCCAGTAGACGATATGACACGGGCGAACATAAACACACATATCAAATCACCTCTCTCTTCTTATCCTCCCTTCTTACCACACATAACCTTAACCTAATTCACTCCTCCCTTTTCAGATCTACAACAACCCCAAAGCCCCAAACGAAGCAACCACCTCCCGATCAACATTAAGCAACCACTCCTCCTGGAACCTCTGCTCGCCGCCACATCCCACAATCAACGAATGAAGCCTTTCACGAATAAAGTCCCTAATGTTGACCTTATGCAGCACATCCGACTCATCCCATTCCCGTCGCCGCACATTCTCCGGCGGCTCATGCTCATCGGCCGCTCCCGTCTGGGCATTATTCCAGTAGATCAGATAGTCGCTGCCTCCGCGGGGATCGTCGGGATTAGCCCCACTGCCATCTGTGCCTTCGGCGAGTTCAGTGACGATGTCAGTCCACATGGTGAGATAGGACTGAAGGTTATTGAGAAGATAAGGCGGGGGCTGAGAGTCCGGTCCGTTGAGGGTGAGAAGTTGGGTGAGGGCCAGGGCGTGGAGTTTCTTCTGGGTGGAGCTGCCGATGTTGTCGTAGTGGAGGAACCATTCTGTGAGGAGCCATGAGAGGACGGTTTCTTCGGGGCTGTTGGTGGCGGCGGAGACGGCGGACGTGAAGATCTTGGGGTAGGCGAGGGCGAGACGCGCCAGGACGGAGAAGTAGTCTGTTTCGACGACGCCGTAGACGGAGGTTTGTTTGCGGTTCGGGCCGGTGGTTTGGCTTGCTTCGTGGGCGGAGTGGAGGCCTTCGAGAAGGGCCGGGAGGAAGGAGCTGTCGAGGAGGGAGCGCGTGATTATGCTGTAGGTGGTTTCGCTGCCGTTGTCGACGGTGTTGGCGCCGCGGAGGAGTAGTTCTACGAGGCGGGGGACGACGCCGAGGCGTTGCTTGGTGGTGAGTTTGAGGAGGGTTTCGAAGGAGACGAGGAGGGGGAAGCGGATGCGGTCGCTGAGGATTTCTTGCGGGGCGAGCAGGATGTAGGATTCGGCGATTTGGAGGGCCTGTGGGACGCTGTCGGTGGCGGCTTCGAAGATGGGGAAGAGCGCGGGGATGAGAGAGAGGATTTCGGGGGAGGCCGGGGCGGGCGTTTGCATTAGGATGGCAGACCAGAGGTCGAGGGCTTCGTCGAGGAGGTAGATGAGAGTTTCCTTGGGGGTGTGGTTAGATGGGTTGGGTGGGTTTGTTGAGGAATGAGGGTATGCTTACAGAGCCTGGTTCCACGGAGTTCTGGATGAGAGGCAGGATCAGGGAGTGGTATCTGACGGATTCCTGCTTGAGGGAGTGGATCAGGGACGAAAGCAGCGTTAGGATGGCTTGCTTCATCAGATGCTCCTCGCCGGAACTCTCCCATAGCGGGGGAAGAAGGGACAGGATTTGGTCGGAGAAGGGTGCGATCTATTCTGTTGTTAGAGGTAGGGACTAGGTTGGGTGAGGATGACACTTACGTGGTCTTCCATCTTTACAACTGCCATACGGACCGTGTCAAGAAGCCCCATCTTGGTCTCCGAAAGTTCGACTTCTTGGACGAGGGACATTAGGTCTTGCAGGATGGCCGGTGCATACGGCAGGAACTCAGTAGGGGAGAACTCGAAGGGGTCGAGCACGTTCTTGAGCTGCCGTCCGGCGGTAATGCGGACCACCAGGTCGTTTAACGGATCTTGCTTGCTGAGGAGGTGCTGGAAGATCTGGTAGATGGCGTTCCTGTTGAGCTCACTGGACTTTACCGGGACCCACTGGCCCAAGACGATGGCTATCCTTCTCCGGAGGACATTGTATCCCTGTTCCTGGATCTGGACTTCAGGCACAAGCGTTGTCTCGAGGAACTTGTTGAAGTCCAAGTGTTGCTCCAGACTGGCTGCAGAGAGGCCAATGGCAGCGTACAGGGAATCCTTCAACAGGACGTCGCGGTTATCAGGGCCTATCGAGATCGTTAGTGAGATTATTTCGACACGGCTCGATTTCGGATGCTTACTTGCGAAGTTGTAGAAGACCGTCAAAAGACGCGGGATGAGCAACTCCTTGAAGTGAATGACGAGGTCAAGGAAGAGCTTCTCGGAGCACGACCGGATGGAGAATTCCCAGGCCTCGGCAATATCCTCCTCCTTCCTCTCCCACTCCTCAGGATCCTCCTCCCATTCCTGAAAGTCATTCTTCCTGAATCGGAAGAATTGGGTGACGAGAAGCTCCATGACATTAACAACGAAGTCATGGGTGAACAGTTGGGCTTTGATGAGTTCCACAGACTGTTTCTTCTCCTCCTTGTCTTGCGGAGTCTGGTACTTGAATGTCTGTGCCGGGTTAAAGGCCATCTTGGAACAAGCCCTGATTAGAAGGAGAGCCCTGAGGCCGGTCTTCTCCATCAAGGACTTTCCCTCCGGCTCACCGTCCCCGCCCAATTGACTATAATTCTCTCCCAACTTGACTACTAAAGTCCAGTAGGACTGGACGAGCGGTATACTGTCCGGGAGCAACGCGAAAGATGCCGGGCGATCCTTGGCCATTTCCACGTGAAGCTTGGAAAGTTGCAAGAGGTGCTTCTCAACTGCCCTATGGATTTGCTCCGACATTGTAGCGGGGCCATTGATAAATCCCAGGAATCTACTGAAGTGGGAATGGGTCAGAACCCAGAAGTCACGGACATCCTTATCGCGGTTTGGGTGTTCATATCCGGCGATAACAAGACGCCGGATGACCTTAAGAGACACTAGGCTTTGTTCGATCACATCTAGCAACGTTGCCTCATCAAAGCCCCCTTGCTCCAGGAAAGAAGCCCAACTGTTCACCTTGTCCACGTATATGCTCCCCAACAGATGGAAGATTTCTGGAGAGACGGATTGTAGGTTCGCGCGGGTTCTTTGCAGCCGAGCCGTTGAAAGCTCTTTGATAATCTGTAGGAGGATGATAAGGGTCCGGGGCAATTGCAACGGGTTTGCGCCAGGCTGGGTAGAAGAGCGGAGGAGAGCAATGAGGGAGGTGATACCATCCGGCCTAGACACCGTCAGTACGTACAATACAAGCCAAATCCCAGCGCGTCAGCACTCACCAGTCTTGCGGGAATTCATAGCGCATGATCTTAGCAATCATCAACGCATTGTGAAGAGCCAGGAGAGGAGCTGGCTCGAGGACACCCGCCTGTAAGGCCCTAGTCTTTATCCGTTCCTTTTCTTCCTTCTTAATGGCACTTGAGGAGGTCAGTCTGTGGTTGCACAATGTGTCGATCCGAGGTGGGGGGTTGAGGCGCGCATACTTTGTCGCAGTCTTTCGCCAGTACTTGTCGATACCGTTCTTCAACTGGATGATGGAGAGGTATCGAACTTCAGGGGGAACAGAATGGTCCAGGAATACATCCTGGATGGTGTGAGTATCAAGGGGTAGAAACATATGAGCACAAATTGGATTAAGGCTGAGGAAAATACCTGAAGCGATGAATAGTAACCCTCCTGCTTCTCCCAATTCTGGAGTTGCTGGGTGCCCGATTGCACCTGTTGTTGAGTTGAGCTAGCTGCAAGAACCAGCGCATTAAGGACATTCTGCGGGGTCAGGGGATTGGCCTCCCCAGTCAACTCGACGATTGGGGCCATTGTATGGGACGTATAATGGTCGGCAGCTTGAAGCTGTCAAGGAGGGAGGGATGTATCTACTACTACAAAGTAGTAGTTCGGAAGGTAATTGGATCCAAACCGAAGAACGGCCAGGACTGGGCCTCTGACTACTCAACAGGTAGGTAGAACAGAGAAGTGGGCTAGGTGCCTCGAGTATTGACTGTCAACACGAAATCGGATTCTTTGATGGGAAAGGAAGCAAAGCAACAATGAAGGCTAAGGCAAGCTTCGCCGCCAGTCATCGGGCTTCACGGATTCTCTCTTTCGGGTTTCCCCGCCGAGGAGGGACCATCCGGGTCATGGTTGTTCCCTTCCGAAAAACCCTAGGGCCGGACCCTGACGGCTAGTCCCAGATCAGACATGACTACTTAGGGCTGGTTTCGAGGGGAGAGCCTGAGGCTTGATGTAAGAGAGGTGATGATATCATATCCCAACTGGCCACTTCTTTGGGTTGGGTGTCGAGACCAGGTTCCAGCAGAGAGAAATGCGGTCGACTGGAGACTATGCACTTCTCGTTACATATCTATGATGTAGGATGATGCAATACTCACAGTGTCCCTGACGACGAAGACATTCGAGATGGCACATATATAGTTCGAACTCTTTGTTGCTACTTACTCTGTAGCATTCACCATCAAGGAAACTCTATCAATTCTCTTGTTGAGCACTCAGAAACAAACTCTACCACCACTATGAGCGACTACGACAAGGTTCGCATCGCTTACGATGCCGAAAAGGATCTCAACTCCTACCAAGCCAAGCAGGGCCTTGGTCCCAAGAGCGATTCCAGTATGTCTCTCGTCTAAAGATCACACACGCCACCTTTTGCGACAACCATGTACTGAACAATCACAGCCCTTGAGTCTGGAGTGAACGAGATGGTGGACAGGAAGTTCGAGACAGGCATTCGTACTGGCAGAGAAGCAGGCGCTTCCGGCAGCGACCGCAAGCCCATCCCAGAAGAGGAGGGAGGCATTCGTGATGATCGCGGCCGGTGAGTCTTTCATCATCCACATAAATCATTCATCAAACTATGGTTTGTACTAATCGAATTTGCCTTTCCAGACTCGCAAAGGCTGGACAATTCACGGGCCCTGGTGGTCCTGAGGACAAGGTGAAGCTGGACTCCGAGCGTCGCCCTGGCGATCAAGATACTTTGGGTATCCAAGATTTGAAGCGTGAGGGACTGGCTCCTTAAACACGCTATGTATAATATAATGAAACCTTTGATGAGAGATAAAAAGCAACTTTGATTGCCTTGTTTAGCCTTGGTTTTGCAGATATGCAATAGTATTTTTGACCGAGTTGGTCGGGAATGGCGTTTCGTACCAGGAAGCAAAGAAAGACTACCCAGTAAATTTTATGCCACCACTACAACAGTAGAGCTTGACTGCTATGTATACAGACGCATTAGAATAGTCCATGTGAATTTCCTTGAGACACAGGTTGCTCTCTTCCATGCTATACGTGTATGTGACCTGTTTTTGGGCCCTATACGCGTCAACAGCCAAGCTAAGTTGGTTATCGTTAGCATTGGAATGAGTGAACCTTATCGCCTGCATGGCTATGAGAGGCGTATAAATTCTTAATGCATGGAGCATGCTGAACCCATTGTGTTTTTTTTCTGCACGGATGCAAGTGGATATCCTCGTCAGCATCATCATGATAATTGATAATACCCAGACTTCAATTGAGACGCGGCTCTTCATCAATGGCGAGGTAGGGCCGATTCCCTACAGGATCAGATGTTTTCATACTCATTGCAATACCAAATAGTTTCGACCCTCGTCAGATGGCAACACTTTTGCTGTGATCAATCCCTTTACTCGTGAGCCAGCTGCAGATGGTATGTGAGCACAACTGACCTCCATCTCCGGAAGCCGCAAACATATATAGCAAAGTCCAGTATAACTCACATACTCTTAGTCCACGAAGCCAATAAAGCCGACGTGAACGATGCCGTTGCAGGAGCCAAAGCCGCATTCCCAGCGTGGAGGGATCTCTCACCTACCCAGAGAGGCAAATACTTCCATAAACTAGCCTCGCTCATCCGTGAGCACGAGCAAGAGTTCGCCCGCTTGGAGGCATTGTCTTCCGGGAAGCCGGTGTCCCGATACATCGATGCGAGCGTGGCAGCTGATGCATTCTCATACTTTGCTGAGGCAGGCTGGACCGTTCAAGGATCATCTAGCTGGAACACCCCCGGCCAGCTCAACATAATCTCCAGGGAGCCGTATGGCGTGGTGGCTGCTATTATACCATGGAATGTACCGTTTGCCTTCTTCGGCATCAAGATTGCTCCTGCGTTAGCAGCCGGGAACACCATAGTCTTGAAGAGCAGCGAGAAAGCGCCCCTCACAGTGAGCCAATCTCGCAAAAATTCTTTTAGAACCCTTTTACTCGCCGAACTAACAGTTAATAGTGTGCCCTGGGAGCAAAATTGATTGCTGAGGCCGGCTTCCCACCAGGAGTGGTAAATGTGCTTTCAGGCTATGGTCCAACCACTGGAGCTATCCTAGCCTCACACATGGAAGTGCGCTGTCTCAGTTTCACCGGCTCAACACAGACCGGAAGGAAAATCCAGTCATATGCTGCCTTGTCCAATTTGAAGACAGTGCATGTGGAGCTTGGAGGCAAAACCCCAGCCATCATATTCCCCGACGCGGACCTTGAATCTGCTGCAGCGCAGACTTCCTTTAGTGTCCAGATCTTTAGTGGTCAGACCTGCAATGCCAACTCACGTATCTACGTGCACGAGTCTGTGGCAGACAAGTTTCTGGGTTTGTTCAAAAGCATGTTCGGGGCTGCGGTTCTGGGAAACCCCCTAGACAAGGAAACTACTCTCGGTCCACAGGTCGATCAAATCCAGTATGAGCGAGTCAAATCGTACTTGATTGCTGGCGAGAAGGAAGGTACACTGACACTCGGCGGTGATGCGAAGAATGGATATTTCATCAAGCCAACGGTGTTTGAGAACGCGCCGGAGGATGCGCAGATTATGAAAGAGGAGGTCTTTGGGCCTGTAGTTGTTATTAACACATTCAGGACGGAGGAAGAGGTACTCGCAAAAGCCAACGACAGTGAGTATGGCTTGTATGCAGCTGTCTTCACGAGGGATATTGACCGGGCTGTGCGAGTGTCGAAGCTGCTGGAGGCCGGTACTGTCGGCGTGAATTGCACGAGTCCCTGTATGCCGAAAGATATGCCATTCGGTGGCTTTAAGGGGAGTGGAATGGGTCGTGAGAGCTTTCTGCATAGTATGGATGGCTATCTCGAGACTAAAGCTATCCTGATCCAGGCGGGATCTTGATAGCTGGTGGATAGCGTGTCTTTTTACTTCAGCCTAGTATGCGTAACTAGTTGTAATGGCTGAACTAACTCTACTTGAAACAAATTGGCCTGGAATGAAATACTGCGCAGTCACATGTCTTGTGAGTAGTTTCGAACACCGGCTTTCATTGTAGGAAGGCAAGTATTAGATATTGATTGAACGGTTCAGTGCCGTTCTGCATTAGCAAATCTGGGAACTCTCATCTCGTGAGTGTCATTACCATTCGTAAAATACATTAAAGCCGCTTTTCTCCAAGAATTTGTCCCACTCATATCACCTATGCCCCAGTTCCTTTTGTAAATGCAACTAGCGGTCTACAACTAAGCCCAAACTCAAGTGCAAGTCACCCTCACAACAAACTGAGCATCAGTCCCATAACAAGACCGGAAAGACCGGTACTGGGCGACACAAGAGAGATTCCAGCGTTGGTAGAGGGGCTAGGAGATGAGGAAGAAGAGGTGGAGTTAGAGCTGGAGGTAGTCGACTTCTTGGTCGCCGTGACATTGACGTTGTAGCCGGATTTGGTGTCATAAGGGTAGGGGCTGGTGTAGTTGTATGTAGGCTTAGTGTTGGCGTAGGTCTCCTTCACAATATCCAGGATGCCATGACCAGCGGAGCAGGTGGCGTTAGTCAAGGGGTTGGGCCACACAGAAGAGTACTTGGAGTATATGCCAGCAGACAACGGGCCGGGGTAGGTCTCGTTGACATGCAGGTTGGTGGTGTCAACGTTATAATTGACATAGCCAGTCTTATTCGCAACAATCTCCAAGATGTTGGCACCGCAGTCCCAGCGTCCAAGAGAAGGCAAGCCCCAGTTCGCGGAGAGGGAGGCGATCACAGAGTAGTGGGTGTAGAAGGTATCATCCGTGGTACCCTTCAAGTGGTCAGGAATGACACCACCCAAGAGAATGCTGAAGATCTTGTTGTGCTTAGCGTAAGTCTCGTCTTCGTCAAAAGTCAGAAGGAGCAGAGTGTCATTCATGAAGTAGGAGTTGTTGAGCAAGGGAGTAACCCAGGTGCGCTCCCACTTGGCGCCAAAAGTAATGTTGGTGTCGTGCGCATCATTAGTCATGTTGGGAGTAACGAAGCCGTACTGAGGAAGCTTGTGGCTGGCCAAGTCATCCTCAAAGCTGGTAAAGTTCTTGATCTGGCGCAGACGAGTGCTGTTCTCGGCGATCGAGTTGAACAGGATCAGGGGGTTGTGTTTACGCACATAGTCGTTGGCGTAAGTCTCCTGGTTGGAGTAGTTGAATCCCTGGAATCCGGGGTAGGGTTGGTGCTCCTGGTACTCTCCCCAAGAAATGCTCTTGGTGTCGAACAGATCGGCAATGGTCGACACGTTGGCGGGAATCTGAATGAAATCGTCATTGTCCATGCCGAAAGTGTCTCCAGAGGCGGAGGCGCAGTAGTTCGGCTCAGAAGGATGAGTGACAGCGTGGAAGTTGGTCCTATGAGCGTTCAGTATCAGCTTCTAGTCTAGTCGGTCTGATTGCCTGAGCCTAAGACTTACAGTGTGATTCCCTGGGAGGCAAGCCACTTCATATTCTCATCGGCGGCCGCATCCGTATAGTCCTGAATGAGATGACAAGTCAGAGAAGGGTACACCCAAATGTGATGGATTTAGAAAGTCTGGCACATACAATGTTCT